CTTTTTTTTTTTTTTTTTTTTTTGAAAGGACTGGAGAAATTATTAACCACAGTTGATGACGTCAGAGTTGATCTGATTAAAGGTTTGTTTTCTTGCTGGCAGAGGTGTGCTCCGTAGAGACTGGTTCTCTCTTCTCTTTTTTTTAAGTTTCTTTTTTGAACAGCAAACGGAGGGAACTGCTCGCACTGCTGCCGCTGCTGCTGCCGCTGCTGCTGCTCCAGCTGCGTGTGTGTGTGTGTAAACAGGATGGTGTATCTGTAGCCGCCACGCGCAAACACACATTTGACCATGAGGACTCTTCGCAGGTTGAAGTTCATGAGTTCGCCCAGCCTCAGTGATCTGGGCAAGAGAGAGCAGGCAGCCTTGGATGAGCGGGGGACCCAGCAGCGACGGGCCTGCTCCAACGCTACCTGGAACAGGTAAGGTCTCGCACGATGTGCCGACTCCCCCGTAGCCTCTCCGCGCTCCCGCAGCCGCGATTAACGTGTGAGTAGCTGCCCCGTCGGCTCACAGGCTGGGCTGCCTGGCTCCCAGCTGGGCAAGGGGACGGCCCGCGTCGGGCTTCTGCGGGAGCGTGTCACGCGTCTCCGAGCCCCGTGTGGAGTAAGAGACGGGAGCGGCTCTTTTCCCCTTGCTGTTCACCTTTCTCTGAAGGCTGAGAGCAAAGAGCCTTTTCCTGCAGGTGGCTTAGCCTGCTCTTCCCTGCAGGGACAAGGACTTATTTCCCGTGGTCCAGCTACAGGAATATCTAGATAGTCTCGTTTGAGGTTGATTTGATTTTATTAGGTTTTTTTAAAATTCCATATACACAACTATTAGAATACATTATTTTATCTGCATAACAATGTATATTGCTGCTGGTTGGTACAGATACAGCAAAGTCTACTCAGTTGACTCACATTAATACAAATATCTCTGTGTACGTGCACACGCAAGCATGCGCGCTTTGGACGGGGAAAAATAAGCCCTGATTGTTTTCTTTATTGTGTTTACACATCTGAATTCTATTACAGTTTGACAAAAAAACCCCAAACTAAAACCCCACACAAACATTTTGTTGAGAATGTGTCACTTAGCACATTCAGAATATTCAGAAAGCATCTTAATGACCGTTTGGTGAGACTCTTAAAGATGAGTCTGAGTCTCTCAGTCGTTAGGAATTATATTCTTATGTTCTTTTTGAACATGAAATGTCATCTCCTGGGTCACGGCTTGGAAAGCGTCATTTGTAATGTTTTATAATTGTATGGCAGTACAGCTGGAGGAAGAAAAATACCAGTGAACTGTAGACACGTTTATGAAAGGTATTTGAGTTCTGAGCACAAAAAAAGAAAAAATATTTATAAAATCCCACATCATCTGTCCCTCTCACCACTCGATTTGTGGTTTCATGCCTGCATTATGAATTAGTTGTTTACTGCCGGCAGCACACCCAGCACTGAAACCGCACCGTTCACAAAAGAGACCGAGTTTCTGCTCAAATATTGTGCTGTTCATGTGACACGGGGTTGCCCCCGAGGTCTGGAAGGTGGGGGTGATTGAAGGCTGCCTTGGACCACCTTGCCTTATGCCAGTTGGGGTTTCACTTGGCCAGTAGCCCCATGGGAAGCAGCAGGGAGTCAGATGCTCCTTGGTGTGAACCGAGGTGACAGAGTACAATCCCCAGAGCCTTTTTGTGATGGTGTGCTGACAGCTTTTGTTGGCAGGGATTAGTGTTTCCAGGTCTTGCTTGCGGGGAGGGAGCTGTGGAGGCGGATGCGAGTGGAGAGCAGGTCAGGCACCGGCCTTGCTGGGCGGCGGGGAGCTCCAGGCGGAGGGGCTGCTGGTCCTCACGTCGGAGGCTTTTCCTAAGTGAGCTGGAGCAAGAGTTTATTTTTAATTTGGACAGGACAGTACTCTGGCCAGAAGTGGTCACCGATCAGCAGGCTGGACATCCCCACATCTCACCCAAACAATCAGCCAACTGTCCCCTCACCTGTTCCTGGAATAGGTGCCCACTAGTCATCCTGCCACCACTTCTTTTGTGTAAGCTCAGGCCTAAACGTGCTCTCCTTTGCCCTGGGTGGGTAGTGCCGGGCCATCCCTGCTCTTTGGTGACCCGGCCTCTGAAGGGCTGGCAGGGGGCTGTCCTGCTGTGGGCATCGCCTGCCTGCACAAGGAGCTGCCCACAGCTCCAGCCAGTGCCACGGACCGTGACCCCCCACACCGCCTGGGCAAGGGGAAGGCCTGCCTTTTCTTATTAATAGTGCAAGGCTTTCTCCTGGGTGGAAGAGAGAGTGAGGGTAATTCTTCTTTCAGGCGCAAAAAGACTTGTATCCTCGCTGGAGCTTATCCTCAGGAAAGCCGGGGCTTAAATGATGTTTGGATTAGTTATATTAAGAATTTATCCACTGTAGCTTCTGCCTATCACTAGTGGGTGCTCATCTTGGCATCAGTAACAGGGTCTGGTCTCGAGGGAGTCAGCGTTCAGCCCTCCTGGAGAAGAGTCACTGTGCCAAACTGGGTGTCTCAACCTGGACTCCCCAAGAATCTCTGGTGGGTTTTGAAAATCTTGGGCCTTAGTAGGGTTTTTATTTGTCCCCTGCAAAATGAAAACACCCCAACAGAGGACTAGCAGGCCGTACGTTGGTTTATGGGAATATTCTTTCCAAATGGAAGGATTGCCTGGGCTGTTTCGTTCTGTGCCACATCGAGCTGATGGAGGAAGTGACGATGCCCCAGCAGAGCTCTTCCCTCTCACCAAGCCTGGCTGTTCTATATTTAAATGTCTGCCGGTTTCTTGCCTAATGTTAACAGCTGTGCCTGGGTGGGGCACGTGTGTATCTGCTTTTGAAAGAGGCTTTGAACCGAGTTCATCAAAACTGATGTGGGGAGAGTCAGAAGCACAACCCCAGAGCAGGCCCGGCCCCACATGAAACTGAAGGTCCGAGGTGGAGCGAGGACGCTGCCTCGGCCCTGCCGGGGACCCCGCTGAAGCTGCATTTTGCTGGGGGGGTTCTGCCAGGGAGCAGCTCTGTCACTTTTTCCTGAGGAGGATGTGTGGCTCCCCTGCTGCAGCCGGCTTGCGTGTGGCTACAGCCTGGCTGCCCAGCCACGTCCCCCTTCGCCACCGCCACGCTGTCTCAGCCCTCAGACTTTAGACCAGAGGATTCCTGCTGCTTTCTTACACCAAGGGAGGGCAAACTGCAGGACCCGGACCGCAGGGTTCAGGGTGCAGGCGGGACGTCGCACTCAGTGCTACCAAGAAAGGTCTCTTCCTCCCTGATAAATTTCCTTCGCCTCCAAACTAATAAAACGCTGTAAAACTTCTCGACGCTGTTAAATCAAAGGGAAATCGCTGCCGAGCTGCTGTCTGCTGCTATGCAAATTAGACTTTATAGCACGGCTTTTTCTGAGCTTGCTTTCCCAGGAACCCCAAAAGATCTGCACATCAACACACCGGCAGTGCACGTTAACTAGCAACCAACAGCAACATAGTGGAACAATACAGTTTCGTTACAGCTCACAGAATTTGCATTGGATTAAAATAGCTTCGATTTTTTCACTAGCATTGTCTTCAACTCCTTTCCCCCCCTCCTCTTTTTACTGCTTCAGGCGAAAAATGAGTGCTGAATGCTGACTAAACCAATTGGACTGAGAAACCCAGGGTTTTTAATCTGGAGCTTGCAAGCTGGGGGGCAGGGGGGGCCCTCTCAGGGCAAATAAAATCCATCGTGAGGTTTTCATTCTGACTGAGCTAGCATGGGCTGTCTGAGTTGTGCTGGGGGAAAGCCTCGAGTTAAAGGCACTTAGATCCCCTTTGGTGTAAGAAAATGGGGAAAATGGATGGAAACATGAAGGAGATAGCAAAGGAAAGGGGAAGAAAACACGGATGAGATGCCTGGGACATTAGTGAGACCAGCAGTAAATCCAAGTTGATGTACGGAATCAGAAAGAGTTTTATGGTTTGGGCTAATTTTTACAGGGTTGTAATTAGCACAATAACTTGCCATAAAGTAATTTTTACAGTCATGGGAACCGTATTTCATCTTCTAATTAAAAATGAATGTTTTTTCGGATCAGAGAGGCTTTTCTAGTGGAGAAAACATTCCAGACCAGCGTATTTATCCCCGACTTCTACTCAGATATTTTCTTTCTTCCAACATTTAGTGTTTATATAGAAATATTTTGAAATATTTCTGCTTGTCTGAGGATCACCTTCTTGACCCTTTCTTTGGAGCTCTCTTGGGAGCATCTGGCCGTGTGCATGCATGGGGGGCAGACAGAGCCGAGCTGTGGGGTGGGGAGGAGGAACGGGGAGGGTGAAGGGGACTTCCCAGCAGGTCGAGCCACCACTGCACCGTGGAACACGTGCCAGCCTTGACTGCCGTAACAGAAAGTGGTGGTGGTGGAGAACTGCTGCTCCCCACAGCCCTCCAGACATATTTATACTTGCTTGAATGCAGGTATAATTGGAAGCCAAATTCTCCTTAGTTCTCCGCTCCGTAGAGATATTAACTCTTAGTAACACCTCAGGGAAGTCCCTTCACCTGTCTGTCTCACCTTTTTTGCACGTAAGAGCAATGTTTACAGCTGGTGAAGTTAGTGAACTAATGCCTCTCAGACTCTTTGAAGATGGAGTTTTGCAAACCAGCTTAATTTCACTTGCATGAGCCAGTGTGTAATTGCAGCCGATCCCTCTTTGCAGATTGCTCTACCTTGGGTGGAAATTTCAAAAACATAAGTGAACGGGCAGCTGCAAGCTTATTTTGAAAGGGTCAAGGCCTCATGGAAAGCCTGTGGAGTAGCAGCTGGACTGAAGCTGTGCTGAAAATGGGCTCTTCCCAATTGGATTAAGCTAATTCCGATAAATGAGGTTTTATTCTGGAGCAAGGGTGTCTTCAGGGAGCTTCTGATGCAAGTCTATCAGGTTACTTCTTGTTAATTAGCTATTCCCATGCCTGTCCAGAGGAAATGAACCCTACGTCACTTAGTCCCTTTTGAAAATGAAGATGTTGCCTTTACCTGGTACTTGCAGAGTGTGATTATTCACACAGTATCGGTTTTGCTTCACCTGGAGCTCTGGAAAAGGGAGAATTTGCAAACACTAAATGATAAACCCTGCGATACTTTCACCCATGCTGTTTGCATACAAAGATAGCGACTGCTTTAGAGAACCGAAATCACCCGTGTGCTGTGCACAAGGGATAACATGGGCCAGGAAGCGCCGAGCTGGGCAGGCCGTGGCCAGGGTCAAAGCAAACAGAAGGTCAGGATTCAGACACAGACATCTGAGCCCAACTTTGCAGTTGTTCCTCAACTCTGTGGTTGAACTGATTCTGACCCGGCAGAAAACAGTGTTTTAATCACACGTTTTTCCTTCTTGGCTGCTTGAAAACATCAGTGAAAGAACAGGGGTGGGTGGTAGTTCATCAAGTGC